GAAGGTTTCACATGAGACATTATAATAGCATCAATTGCCTTTTTAGAAACATACAGAATAATGCTGACTCAAAGACAGGATTAGTTTCATAGAATCACAGAATTATGGAATGATTTAGGTGGAAAAGGACATTAAAGACCACCTAGTTCCTTCCCCCCCACTACTGGCTGCTCTCCACTCAGTATAGTCGTGTTATGAACAGTCCACCCAATGAAGTAAAGTATATCACCCTACACAAAACAGCTCACAACTGACCCTTTCCATAGGAACAACAGCATGACCAGGGTATTTTTCTAAGTCTTCCTGTACACGGAACAGCAGCCGCCTTTCATCAGAAAGCCCTGAGTCACTTGAAGAAGAAATTATCATACAGTCATAGAATTTCAGGGGTTGGAATGGTTGTTATAGATCATCTAGTCCCAAGCCCCTGCCCCCCCACTAGACCAGACTGCTCAAGGCCTCATCCAGCCTGGTGATACTATTATGCATTCAGTTCTTTGAACACCACAGACATTATCTCCAGGCTCTGAAAGTGCCTATTACCTACGACTGGGAAGTTTCATTTGCATCAAAGGTGACAGCTTCCCACTTCCCTTCTATGCATACATACATGTCAGAACTCACCAACAATACTTATGCTTTTCTTCCTTCCCATGGCCCTAGGCCAGGGATCTCTGGCTGTGGGATCCATGACATGCCCGCTAATCGCCTGCTTCAGGAAAGAAACTAGCATTCCCCAGAAAGCAGCTACAAGCAGGCACTGTGTAAAATAGCTGGCATGTAGGCTGCTTCCTCTTTGATCTTATAAGGGCAGAAAGGGAGCCAGTGCAAAGAGAAACTGCCACTGAACCCCTAGCGAGTTCCACGGATCCTTGCAAGTCCTGATACTGCTGTTTCTCACTCCTGGGAAGTCTGAAACCCTCAATTTCTAAAGGAAAAGCAGAGCACCTTTTTCAGTATATCAGTCTAATAATTCAGTACATATGTCATTGTATCCACATGCACTTGAAGCCTTGAAAGGCTTTGCTGTGTGGCCTTACAATAGAGGCCATACTGGATCTCCTCTTGGGTAACTGCACTACTGTCAGTGGAACTATATCATCAGTATTTGGTCTAGGGTCTTGAGGAAACCATGGCTGTATAAAAACAGAAAGTATATGCTGATCCCTCCAGAAGTTACAGCTAAGTACTCAGTGTCATATACCTAACAGACCAAAGCGCAGGCAATACAAAGTTTGCACTGGGCACACCTCAAACCTGACTGCCATAAGCATGGGATCCTACTGCATCCCCACACAGACCATTCCCAGTGTGCAAGACATACACACACTCAGTGCACTCAGCTGCAACAGAGGGGAAAACACTGGCCATACTGCTTAATGGACACCAAGGTGAAGTATAGGAGGGTGATGAAGAACAAAAGTTGAAGGTCTCACTTTCTAAAAGCATGCAAAATGTTATATGGATTTTTGCCACCTGGAAAGGTATTTTAAGGTGACTAGGAATAAAAAAAGCCAAAGGCAACTCTGGAAAATGTGCACATGGAAACAGACTACCCACGAAGCCTTTAATTACTGGTGACTTTACTCTTCTCAGAATATTCTAGCAGCAGAATGAATTTTCACAGTTTTAGAAAATCAAAGATGTTTTAGTATTCAGCCTGATATTTTCATAATAAGCAGATACAGTGCTCATATTACTCATTATATTGCATGTATTTTAAAGGCAGTCATTTCATCACCTTTGAGATGCTAATACCACAGGACGCTAAATACTAACACGTTAAGACTTTAATCCTAGCTTAATGCAGCTTTATAACACATCCATGGAGATATTTACAATTACCTCTTCTAATAAAGCAAGAAGGTGAATCAAGGCTGAAGTGGGATAGAGTACCTGTAAGCCTCACCTCTCTTGACCTGCCTAAAATACACCCTGATTTGATGTTTAGCCTGGCAAACAACACACACAGAACAAGCCACATAGAAGACAAAAAGGAGTAACATAACTTAGTGTCTCCCAGCATTCAAGGCCTTCAATCACTAAAACACCAACAATGAATCCCAAGGGGAACTTCTTTGTTCACAGACTGCTGAGGCATTTGAACAAGTCTCAGAACTTTGCTCTCCTAACACTTTGGTTGTTTAAGAGAATTACTGGTGGAATCTCCTAGCCAAGGACACCACTTTACAGCTGATTAAAATCTTATGGAAATGCAAGCAATCTCTACAATGATTATATGCACACAACTGCAACAGTATGCAAAGCATTCTCACTGAGCCAAATGCAAGTGAGTGAAGATAGAAATTTTTCTTCCTACATTCCATATGCAGGA